AATGAATCTCAATATTCGAGTGCATTTGGTGGACCAGTAAAGAGTTCGTTAAGTTTGCGTAGTTATAGGTTTGCCGCTTCTTCAACGTGGGACCCGACGGGCTAACTGAGGGCCAAGTAGAGGCTGCAAGAGAGAAATATGGCTACAACGGTACGTTTTCATTGGTTTTGAGAATTAGCCGTCAGTTGCTCGTTGATCAACGTTAAAGTAGTATAGGTCCGAGTTCTATTCGAAATACGGGTAGAAGGCTTGGTTGGCCTGGGCGGGTGTCGACCTGGGATTCGAACCCAGGACCGCGCGAGTGGTGAGCGCGCCACTTGTCACTACACCACCTCCGCCTCTACCAATATTAACGAGAAATTTTAAGTGCTCAGTCATAGCTAGTTGGTATTTTTACAATCTAGTAAAGTTTAGGGTGTAGTTCGGCGACAGAATGGCGTTTTACACTTTTGCTACTTCCCATCGACGTGCCGAGCCGTCGAGTGAAGGCCTACGTAATCTTGTGAAGCCACAAATAATACAGCCAAAGATTTTCGAGATTACCTACCAACTATTGTAATGCGATGAAATACTTTGCAAATACTACACACAAATACCACTCAATACCACTCGACGAGATTGTTCTAGCTTCACAAGAATCCACAGTTTTCACCATAGTATCGTAAACCAGAACTACTGGAGCAGCGAAAGCGCACCCCCCCCCACCTCGTCGCCGAACTGAGCCGATTTTTGTAATCCGTGGAGATAAATGAGTCTTTTTTTCATAAGTGGTAGGATTAGCTTGCAGAAGATACTTGTTCAATTGAGTTTTTATAAGCACAAATACTGGATAGGACCTATTTCGTTATTCCCTTTTGTCATAAAGACTGCAGTAGAACACTCCTTCAAAAATCTGCGGCGGTAAGTGCGCGTTAGCGATATTTGAATTGACGTGGATGTCAAGCTCGGTTTCAGTTCTGTTTGATCTCTGCGTAGGTGCGATATTTGAGGACTTCGGAACTGAAAGTGTCGGATTGTTGACTAAGAAAGAAAAAGGAGTTTTGTGAATTGACTTTTGGTCGGTCGTTTTTGACCGGTCTTAGTGATTAGAAGAAATTTCCAATTTTCAGAAATGCCTGCGGAAGAAGGAAAGTCAATTTGGGAGCTTATACTTGAGCAATTCGATGATCTCCTTGTTAAGATTCTTCTTCTCGCCGCTATAATTTCTTTCGTAAGTGGATTTTTGTGTGGATAGTTTTGAAAAATTGCATTTACTATTGATTTCCTTTCATACCATTTGTCACATGGTTTGTTTTTTTACACTTCAACTTAACACTCTGAGAGGATCTTGTATTATTGTAATATTAACTTCTTATTCATCTGGGAAAGCGTATAGGCTCCATTCGACCAGCGGCTATCGTTTCTCAAAAGGAATGCTTACTTGACTTGGCAAAGTTCGAGTAATTCCTTTGTTATTTCTGAAGATTGCGTTAAAATCGTCTTTTGGGTTGGTTGTGCGCTCGCGCCTGCTGCTTTTCTGCAATGCATGCAACAGCTGTGTCTTAGCGGGTGTTTGCGTCTCATCCTCTTCATCATCTATTTTTGACGACTTTCTTCTTGACAAAGAAATTTATCAGCTCACATTTCTTTATAGAAGATTCTGAGACGAAGAATCAGCCTTATTGGTTTTCTTTTCAGGTATTAGCTCTGTTTGAAGAACATGATGACCAGACATCTGCCGTTACCGCTTTCGTTGAACCTTTCGTTATTCTCCTTATTCTTATAGCAAACGCTACTGTCGGAGTTTGGCAGGTAGGTATCTTTTGAATAATGTTGTTTGATGATTTGTTCCTGTTTTCTTCCCGTAATTTTTGGTGAATTGCGGCTATCGGCACCCCCGGGTGCGTGAACTGGCATAAACTGTAAAAACAACGTCCTTGCTTGAGCACATAGTTTTCTTTAGAAGGTTCTGGGAACGGATCTACTTGGAGGGGCATTTAAGGGACTTCTAATGCAGAGCTGTGCTTGTCGTCATGCAGACCGCTCTTGTAAGACGAAATTGGTTTTGTCTCACCACGCACTACGCTTTTCTTTTCTCCGAGGCAAGGATCCTCTTCTTCATCAAGAGAGCCCCAATTTTTCGCAAGGACTCTTTGAAATGCTCCCCTGATTAAGTGCGGATTGCCACCTCATATGCTTCCGATCCCTTAGGGATGTTGTGACTGTTTCCCGAACCTAATTTGGTGGGTAATTAAGAGGAATTGCCGCATGTTTGCACAAAGAAGTTCGGTCACCCACTTGGCACTCTTTCTCCCAGCTGTATTTCGAGGAAGGAATCCTAATCTCCCTCGCGGTAATCCCAGTCTGATACCAGAAATCCTTCAAAACTCACCCTACCCGAATTGCGTCATTGAAACGCGCTCATACTTCACGGTCCGATCACGCGACAACGATTGCGACCTACATAAAGGCACG